AACGTACCAACTGTATGTCAAAAAAAATGGAACACCGAAATAAAAACCGAACGACGTAAATATTAATTTTTTTGTTAGGAAACATTTACAACCAAAAAATATCTAAGTAGAATGAAAATAAATAAAAATAGCAAAAAAAAACAAAAAAACAGATACATAAATACAAAAATGAGGGAAGCATCAACAGATACAATTTGCATATTTTGATTGGAAAATGTAGGATGCATAGGCAAACAAACATCAGCACCGTTCATACTGGGTTATTTATCGATGGAATAGAATTTTTTGTTGCTGTCTTCTTCTATGTTACAGACATCACAATAAAAACTCTAAATTATATTGGGTATTAATGATATAACGTGAAATACAAATGAAATAATAGAAATAAAAGATGGATTACGGTCTCGATAGGTAAGAAGTTGAGTGTGTATTTATACCCATGCCTATTATTATAGATAAGAGTGAATAACAGTATTTATGTACATTCAAGATTTTTATATACTAAATAATTAATAATTTGTATAAGTTCTGTCTTTGTTCATATAGAGTAAGAAAAAGAAAAAAACTAAAGAAAATTGTAAAAAGAATTTCGTTAAAAAACTGTAAACAAAGAAACTAAATTGCAAACATGAAAAAATGTGAAAACAAGTTTTAGAACGGATTTTTTTTAGATTTTTTTTAATTTTTGGCTTGTTTTTTGTAATTCAAAGCAGTTTTTTTTACATAACAAACAACAATATTTACTTTATTTTAAATTTTGTCTGTTTTTGTTGAGTTTTTTCTCTACAAATCAATAATAACTATTAGCGAAACATTTCAGGTACCTCTAATTATGTGCCAATATAACTGCAAACAATTAATGCCAAACGCCTGTTTTGAGTTTTTCTCTACTGAAACAATTTTTTCATAATTGCAGGTTTTTATAGCTTGGGGTAATAAAGGGAAATTTATTACAAAAAACAACAATTATAATGACGCGAATAATGACGGTGATGATGAAAATGATGATAGAGATGAAAAAAGGTTGGTAGATGGCTCTTGATAATGGAAAAGTGATGGTGATGGTGAAATGATTGTGGGATAAAGATGATTGAAAGGTGATGAAGATGATGAAATTGGTGATATAAAAATGACGATAATGAAAAATGATGAAAACGACGATGAATCAATGACGGACAATGATGAAAACGATAGAAAATGGTGATGGTGATGAATATGATGCTGGAAAGATAAGCATGAGTAGGATAAGAATGATGCTGATGTGGAAAATGATAACAACGACGCAATGGTTATTTTGACTCGTCGAAAGAGGAAAAAAATTTATAACAATAAATTTAATAAAAGTCCACAACGGTTTCAATTAAGATAATTATTTCTCTAATTATGGTAACGATGTTGCTGTGAAGATGATAATGATGGCGATGATGATAATGATTATAATGGTGATGATGATAATGGTAGTAGTGATAACGATGGTGATTATGATAATGATAATGATGATGGGAATGATTATGATAATGGAATTTGATTAAAGGGAACAAAAATTTTTTTGTTTGTGGCTATTGGGATTCTAGAAGATTTGATGTATGTGCCTCACTTAGTTGCACAAATTACAACGTAACGCTTTACAACAACAAACATTTTTACTATTACTGCTACTACTACTAGTACTACTACTACTACTACTACTACTACTACTACTGCTATACTACTGCTACTATTACTACTACTACTACAACTACTACTACTACTATCCATACTACTACCACAACCATTGCTTCTACCACTTTAACATCCAACATAACTAGAATTTAAAACTTTTTATTGAAATGTGTCTTCGACACAAATCAATAAGTTGCATTGTCATTGCCGTTATTCAAACTGTAAATGTCAAATAATTTAATGTTATGTATAAAATTTTATTTAACGATGAATATTTCCGTCATATTTTTCATAACGCTTACAGTGCTATGATATGATAGAGAGATTTTGTTCTTCAAAAGGTTCTTTGAATTTTTAAATTTTCAAATATTAAAAGTTTTTTTTCTTTATTTTATTTTTATCTTTGTCCTAATTACTTTCATGCCTTTGTTCAGGATATTGTTTTGTGGCCAACACTGCCAGAGGCGTTTATTTTTCATGTAACTGTTATCTTTGCTGTTGCTGTTGTTGTTTGTTGTTGTTTGTTGTTGTTATTGTTGCATTTTAATTTACTGAAACATATGTAACCTATATAATGAGATTTATTTCAAAAACTGAGAATTAGTTGATTGTATTTCGCTTTTCTATTAGGAACGTATTTTGGAAGGAATAATCTGAAGTATTTTTTTTAATTTTTTCATGTTCAGTGTTATAAAGTTGTATTAATTTATACGCGTTTATTTTGCATTCTTTGTTTGTTTCACCTTACTTTTAGCGGCGAATTTATTTCTTGATAATTTTCAGCGAGTGTTTATCACGATCAGCTCTCCAAGATATGGCACACAAAAATATTTCTAGTAAATTTTTTCTTACTAGGTACGAAGCAAGACTCAAAAATACATATGATGCATTCGTAAACAAGAAAAAGCCAAGCTAAACATTATCATTGCATTAGATGTTTAGTGTTTATGTTTTATGTGATGATTGTCCTTGTTTGAAATAATTTTGTTATTGTTTTGTTGATGTCACATTTAATGTTGTAATTATGATATTTAAATTAATGCATTTTGTTATTCAGTTTTATTAATTTTAATTATATGTGTGTACTTTAGTTTATATGTGTGTGTTTGCAAGTGTGTGTGTGTGTGTGTGTGTGTGTGTGTGTGTGTGTGTGTGTGTGTGTTTGTCTGTGTGTATGTAGTAGATGATCTTAATGTGGCCTATATATTTTCATTTCTGCCTTCCGTTCCTTAGAGTACTCTGGCAAATGATTATATATTGGTGGATGTTGTTAGCTCTGCGGCTTGGTTGAATTTTCCAGTTTATAAATATATTATTTCATTCAGTAATATAGATTATTGTTATACTGCTCGCTCTTCACCATTCTACGACGGTTACTGAACGAACAACATAGTTTGATCAAGGGGAAGTTCTTTCTGTTTCTGTAATCTCGCTCCTTCAACGTTAAATAACTCGATATTGTTCGTGTATGTAAAATAATAATAGAATACTTTAGTTGGTGACTTACGTGTGTTGAGTATTAGTTAGTGTTTGAAATGTTATAAAGTTTAATAGTCGAAATCGAACGAGAAACGACTCCCCAATTATTGTTAATACTTTTGTTGTTTGATTGCAACTAAATATAACAAAACTTAAAACTGAGAATAAAAATATAAAGTGTAACGCAAATAATAATGTGTAAAAATCTCCAAGTAGTGTTCAAGAGCTTTAAGCGTGTTAAAGAGATAACTAACTTAACTAAGATTACTCTCAACTTAACTTCCCTTAACTTATGTGCTCGCCTATTATATACTAGGAGACCTTGCTCCTTAGAGCCTAACTAGTTGTCTAACTCCTTCTAACCAGTCAGTCCCTGTTGTATGTCACCTCATCCTTATTATACAAAGTATTATATGCTCTGATTAATTAGACGCTATATTATCTTATATTAAGCTGTTTTATGTCTGTAAATTTGCTGTATTGTCGTGAACTACTTTTATAACTTAACTATCATTATAGTTATATACCTACTTTAACATATATATAGATGTTATATATTATATTATTATTATTACAACTTATATTATATTATTACAACCTATATTTACTTATTCCTCCTAACTTAAATTATAATCTAAATATTATGTTGGTGATATAGATTTGTTTCATACAACTTTTTTGTAATGTTCGAATTTTTCATCAACTATTTTTTGTTATTGATAATATTTTTTTACGCAAAACATAACAGAAATTTTGTCAGAAAATATTAGCTTGTCAAATTGAAAACATAATAAGCTCTCACAATTTAACATAATAAAAATAGTATACATATATACGTGATCCATTTTTTATTTCTGTGCAGTGTATTGTATTTTTTATTTTTGTGCTGTTGTGTATGCATTGCACAGATGCATTGTATTGGTGGTTGTTGTATGTTGGATCTTTGCATGTCATAACTTATTTTTCTCTTTTCTTTCATCATCTTCTTCATGCTTCTTTTCTAGGCTGCCAAAAAATGCATACATCAGTCATTTCTTATCAGTTTGTATTAATATTCAGTGATCTTAAATCATTTACAATACTTTTTTAATTAAATTTAGTATTCAATGATATTCTAAACAAATTGCAAACGATATATGAATGAATTTAACAACTAAATTGAATGAATATACCTGAAGAAATGTCTCTATACAATATTCGATACCTTCCAATGAAATTGTGCAACATACTGACGCATAAATGAACTCAGCCGAAAACCACTTAAATAATGCAACGCAATAGCAATAAATATATAAGCACATGTGTTCGTATGTACATATGCGCCTGCGTCTTTGGATTTACGTGTGCCTGTATATGTACGTGTGCGTGTTCGCACGCACAAACGCATGTGCGTGAAAGTTGTTTATGAGCATGAAAGCTCCACTCAGAGCAATATTTATGTCCAAGGAAATAATTTTTTCATCTTCTTAAATGCTCTTTAAAACTGCCTTCTTTCAAATCATACAACAACAAAATAAAAAAAAACATAAAAAATTATGAACATTAAAAAATGGCATTCAACAACATCAAAAAAAAACAAAACCAAAAAAATAACTAACTTTAACATATACACAAGCCATAAAAACAAAATCATACTCAGCAAGCAAAACAAACAATAACATTCTATAAAAGCAACAACGTTAACGCAACAACAACCATCACTTAGCTCGTAGGAATCTTTATTAACACATCATAACGCAATGTACGCCCCATAAACCAAATGTTACATTGCTAAGATTTCGCGCTTTGGATAGTTTATGTTGTTATCGTTTATGTTGTTATGCAAATCACAAAAAAAATTTTTTCCCATTCAAACACAGATAACATGGTTTCAGCAGCAAGTAGCCAAAGTTCGGGTAAAGAGAGATACCAATCGAGTACTTCTCACCGACCCAAAATGGCCAAGAATGTGGTACATGGTAAGTTCTGTTTTTTTGTTTTTTTTTTGTTTTTATCATAGTCATCGCTTATGGTGCATTTTTTTAACAAAAATTATCATACATAGTGCGTTATCTGTTTTTTTTTTATCGAAAGAATCGAACTCCCACAAATGTAGAGATTTGTTTGGTAAGACGCATGTAAGGCGTGGACTCGCAATTAAGCACTGTTTGTTGTAGTTAGTAGTTTTTATTGGTGTTCGTCATGGGTTTTGTTTGTTTGTTTTGCTTTGTCTTGATGGTAATTGTTTAATAATAATGTTTATTGGGGTTTAATTTTGTATTTGATTACGTTGAAAATATTATTACGTTTTTTTACATATTGCCCTTATTAATATCTTATCTTTAATTTTAGTTTTTTATTTATTTTTATGAACTGACAGTTGGAAAGAATCTATAAATAAGAAAGATTAAATATAATAAAAATAAATAAATAAAAAAAGATATATATAAATAAAAATAAATATAAATTTAAATAAATATAAATAAAAATGTTTCCCAATCAAACTTTGACCTACAACATGAATATACAATGTTATACAATCATATATTTGCCACATATATACTTTCAAACAGGAACACACTTAAGTGTTTTCTATACTAATCAAAAATTTTATTTTCAATGTTATTTCTAATATCGTTTTAAATTGAAGTGACCATACTACTTGTAAAATCTTCAGTGGTAAGAGTAAATAAGGTAAACACTCATTTGCATTTGCGTTTGAAACGTTTGAGTGCAAGTATGTGTCTAAGTTTAGGAGCGAATGTTCCTAGTTGCAAACATGTCATTTGAGTTCATAGAGAAATTTGTGATCAAATGAAAACAAATAAAACTAAATACAGACAGATGTAACTTTTTAATTAAATGAAAAACGCATGCATAAAAAAACACACACACAAAAATACAAACCAACAAATGCAAACACAAAAAAGTAAGAAAATGACAAACATAAAAATGGAAAACTAACAAAGGAATGAGTCGTGGGATCGATTGTGGATATTCAATGAGGCTTTAGTACCAAAGTACGCCGATGTTTGCATTACAATGCTCCAGCAAATTCACTCACATTTACAAATACATTGGTATTTACATAAGCACACACGCACGAACACAAAAAAAAGAATACTCAATACAAAAGATATACAAACGGATACAAAAACACAAACACATAGTTGTTTAGTTTGTATCTGTTTATATATTTTTGTATTTGTTTGTATATCTTTGCGTCTCTTCTGTCTTTTTGTATATCATTGTATACTTTGTCTGTTTTTGTATTTTTCTGTACAGGTGTGACTTGTTTGATTCATTACATTTCTATGTTCTCATATGAGAACACGATTCAAGATAAATATTGTTTCCTCCCATATACATTGAACAAATATTGCTGAGAAGAACAAATATTAGTAATACAATATCATCGTTTATTATTTTGTTTATTTATTTATTCTTTCATTTTACACATTCATTCATTCGTTTATTTAAACATCAGCTAGATGATTTGATCAAACATTTTCATGATTGCTATTTTTTTTTAAATTTCATTCATTAACTTATTCATTAATTCGTTCATTCGTTCATTTGCTCATTCAGTCATTTATTCATTCATTCACTCGTTTGTTAGATCAATCTTTTTTTAGTTCATTCATTAATCTCTCTATTCATTCATCCATCCATTCATTCATTCACCTTCACATCTATCCATTCACTCACTCATTGAACATATTCATCCACTTGAGTTCCTCAATTTCAAGTGTTCTAACGCGACGTTTCAAGCTATTTATTTATTCATTTTTTTTTACATTATTTTATTTATTTGATTGTTTAACTCATTTAAATCAATCATTCATTCATTTGTATTATTTCACTTCATTTATTTAATTATAAATTTTGTAATTTTTTACGTAATTACTACTTTTCAATCTTCAAGCTTCAACAATGAAGGTAATGGTTCGATGAATGCGATGGAAACGTGGATTAAGATTACAGTAAATGAATGAATGAATATAAGAATGAATGAATAAATGAATGGATGGATGAATGGACGGATAGATAAATGGATGAATAAATGGATGGATGGATGGATGGAGAATGAACGAACGAACGAACGAACAAATGAATATTAAAAAAAAGTCTCTCATCTGAATAATTAAAATCACATTGAAATTTAGACAAAGAAGCCTTTGAAACCTCAATTGAAACTATTTCGCAACAAACGTCATTCATATTTAATCATTCACATACACACACGCACATACACACTTAAACACACACACACACACATATAATACCAAACATTCACACATACGTACAAAGTTAAACAAACATAAACATACAATGAACGTACGTGCAATTCGATACCGAACTTTTAAACCTAAACATCGTGTTTATATATATATATACAATCTTATAAACATTAACGCGCAAACGATATGTTGGTAATGCGTTGTTTTGCCTAGACGCGTATAAACAAAAAGTTCGTCTTGTTATTTATTCCAAATATGCGTATATACAGGCTACGTATATGTATATGTTTGTATGTATGTATATATATATATATATATATATATATACAGACTTGTATAAAACAATTACATGTAAAAGAATGTTTATGGATCAACATGAACATACATTCAATGATCCTTAGGTGTTTGTTTATAAAAAAAAAACAATAAAAAATAAAAAAATACAATACAATACAAGACATATTCACAACAGTGAACATTTAGACATAGCTAAATATATATATAAACATACAAAGACAGACATAAACATACATGGACAGACGTATAGACATACAGACAGAGGCATAGGCAAACAGACAGAAATGCAAACACAAATACAAACATACAAATGGAGATACATACAAACACACATACAAACAGGGAAACATTGAAAACATACAGACAGTTAAAAACATACAAAGACAGATTTATACATAGACAGATACAAACATACAAACCTGCATACAAGTGCACATCTTTCGCACGCATCAGAAGCATCTATGGCATGTTTAATATGTGGTTTTAAATATTCAGACCATTGTATATATGAAAATCTTATTCTTCATTTCTTTCATTGTTCACTCTCGTTTTGATCAAATTTTTAAAGCAAACAGTTTAGCGCTGCATATTAAGACGAAAAATATTAAACCCACAATATGAAGGTTGTCCATTTATAAACTATACAATTTTCATGTTACAAAGTGTTTAGCTCAACTCAATAATGCATTTTAACAGTTGATCAATACATTTTTTTCTTTGGTTTAAATAATTTATTAAAATTTATCCCACGATATGTAACACGCACACATACATGTGCACACACAGAAACACACACATACACACACACATACATACACACACGCGTGCGCTCAAATTTTTACAAAGAACATTCCTCAACAAAAAAAAAACACAACAAACACATTACGCCGAGCTTGCCATCCTCATTTTTTTTACCTTACATAACTAACGTTACGTAATTAATTACGTCATTCAACACATACTCTTAAACCGCAGCGTTAAATTTGAAAATGTTTCACTCGCTCGCTCGCTCACTCACTCACTCACTCACTCACTCACTCACGTTCATATTCTATTATCTTTAAACTTAACATCAAAACATCAAAAATCCACAGTATAAAAACCCAATCATCAAATATTAAACACACATTATAAGATTGGTTAAGTAACTTTTTTACATTTCAAGTATGTTATATGATATACTACATAACACGCACATAACACTCTGAAACATATAACATAAATAATATATATAGCACAAAAACATTAAAACACACATACACACACATCAAACACACAACACACATACACAAACACAAGCATATAACACAAACCTGACAAACATGAATTAAAACAATCCTACAAAACCATCTTTAAAGTTTAGCAAAACAATCCATCCATCCTTCCATTAAGACTCCTAGACGAATGTATTTAATTTTGTTTCAAATTCGCCTTGAGAAATTGCATCCGATTATTTATCGCCAGCGGGTTTTAGCTGAACCTGGGATCAAATGAAAGAAAGAAAATGAGATTGTAATAAATATTCATTCTCGAAAAAAAATATTGACGATGAAGGCAAGCCGATGATGATTACGAAAATGAGGATAATGACGACGATGATGATGACGATCTTTACTATGATGATGATGATGATGATGATCTTTACGATGATGATGATGATGATGACGATGACGACTATGATGGCGACGATGACGATAAAAAGTTCAGCCCAATAGTAAAAGTATAAGAAGAAAATGTTAGAGTACATAGACTTGGGATGGGAAGTGCACAGATGCTACCGAAACAAAAAAATTTTTTTTGATAAAATGTCAAACGGGAAATGATAAAAAATAAATATTCATAAAACAACTAGCGAATGAAAAACTATAGAGAATTCAACACAAACCTAATGTTTGCAGATTAATTCAATAAGTTATCTGAGTGAGTTTATGAAGATGTATAGAAAAAAGTAATAGTAATAACAATGTGTAATAAATATGTCAAACACGTGCTGTAAAATATGTAATACACACATACACACACATGTGCGTGCGAATTTTACAGTTTAAATCATTCACAGATTGATGTATTTCTGAAAAAATGTACATCACGAATTCAAACATCTTTAAATAAATACAGACAAATACACACACACACACACAAGCGGACACACGCACAAACACACACAAACACACAGACACACACAGACGCAAACACACTGAGACACGAATAAACAAACATACGCGTTAGCCATTAGAAACATTAAGGAAGCATAAATTTGAAAGAACAACTGCCACTTCACCTCTTTCAACCATCATCATCATCTTCTTCCTTTCCATAATCATCATCCTCTTTTCCATCAGGTTCGTTATCCTCATCGTTGTCGTCATTGCCATCCCGTCATCATCTTCTTCCTCGTCACCTTTTTTCCTCTACATCATCATCATTTTCATCATTCGCCTAATCTTCTTCATTCATCTTTCATCTTTGTCTGCGTACCATTTGTCAATTACGTTACTTACATGTAAGTACTTGTGGCACGCACAACCCATACATGCTAAGTACACAAAGTATTGTATACAACAAATTCTGTACTTCCTTGTGTACATATATGTGTACAATACACACATATTAAATTTTTATACAACAGAATTAATTTTAATAATAATAGAAAAAATATATAATTAGCAAATTAAATAGTGAAAATTTAAATTATTATTATTGAATTGATTAACTAATAAAAATTAAAATGCTGGTAACGCGGATAACAATAACTATAACTTATTCTGCAAAATAGATTCAAAAAGAAATGATCCAAAGCTGTCTGAGGTGATTCTAGTTATAAAAATTTTCTTCAGCTACTATCTGACCAGAAGGAGAAACATTAAAAATTTAACAGGATGATTAAAATTCTTTATCCGGAGTGATAATTTTTTTATGGCACTTGAATGGGTGCCAATGGCAAGTTGAACAACAAGTTGATGTCTCCTTTTTAAAGAAGTGCCTTATACATCATTCAATTCACTGGACATTGTTTGTTTGGTTTCTTTCAAATTTAATTCTCTAATGTTTTGATATATAATTGAGAAAGGTTTTCGTTTTAGTTAAGCGTAATTTCTGTGCGCGTGTTTTTGGTCTAGGTGATACTTTTGTAGATGTGTTTCACAACTCGAGTATTCCATTCAGACATCTGATATTGATATTTACAGTTACTTATTTGTATTCCGTATTATATCATAGATACATTCATAGACTTGTGTTTCATTTGTCAAGTTTTTTATTTCTAAATTTTAATAATGAATCTCACAGAAAACTAATTTTTTTGAAAAAAAATTGATCGCCAAGATTTTTTTCTTAAAAAAAAATGCCAAGCTAGAAATTGAAACCGGAAGAATTTTTCGGACGCGCAGCGTGTACGTACATCGTAAAACAAATGATACGCACATACCAGACTGGCTCTGCGTTTTGTTGATGGTTTAGTGTTTGTGTTTAGTTGGTTGTTTATAGTGGTTGCGCTGTTGTTGGTGTGTGTTTGGCGTGTTTTTGTATGAATGTGTGAGTGTATTAAGTATGTGTGTGTGTGAATGGGTATGTGAGTTTTGTGAGTGTGTGTGTTTTTGTGCGTGTGTGTGTGTTTTTGTGCGTGTGTGTGTGTTTTTGTGCGTGTGTGTGGAAGTGATCCAATATTTAGATTATACAAACATAAGTCGGTGCTTGAAGTTTTCCTACTAACCGATGCATCGATAAAAATTTATTGCGAATTAGTTGGCGTTACGTGGTAGCAAATAAGCTCACCATTCACGTTCAGTTATAAAGTAAGGAACAATTGTTGCTGGAATTAGTGTAAAACAAAACTATAAAAAAAAACCATAAAAAGTTAACAAACAGAAAAAACCAATTGAAATCCAGTTATAGAATAGCTGATGTTGTATATATGCATGTTTATTTGTTTGTTTGTTATTAAATATTTTGTCTGTTATTCACATTTTTTGGTATTTGGGGAACGGTGAAGAGCAAGCTATATAACAATATATATATATGTATATATATATATATATATATATTTATACGTATATATGTTATAAGTCTTATATGTGAATTTAAAATTTATTATCTTTAGTTTTTTTAAGACCACTTAATGGCTGTCGCTTGAACGCACTTCAGAATATTTTTTATCATTTTTATCCAACTGTTAATTTTTTATTTAACCGTGAGAGTTGTACGTGTCTGAAGAGAGTGATGATGATAAAAAAAAGATGATGAAGATGATAAAAAATGATGACGATGATGAGAGGATGTTAATGATTCCAATGTAAAATATATGATGACTAAGAATGTTTATCACCATAATGTGATGTTTATGACAAAAATAGTGATAATATTTAATAATAGTTTAAGTTAGCTAATACAAGGTAAAACTGATTCAATTGCACTAAAATATTGCTTTTATCAGTGTTAATGTTACGATTGTTATGTTTGTTATGATTAATAAAAATGAAGATGATGTTAATGAATAAATTTTTTCAATCATTTGATTATCTTTAATAAAAAAAACTACTCAGTCAAACAACGAAACACCTCATTTTATATTTTGTAACTTTTTCCCGAAAACTCATCAGGCAACAATACTTCTTTTTTTCCCCGACAGAACCAAGAGAATGGCAATGGGATGAACATTATGGTGGCGTGGAAACGTGGCTACACGGGCAGGAATGTGGTTGTTTCCATCCTGGATGATGGCATCGAGAAGGATCATCCGGATCTCAAGAAAAATTACGTTGGTGCTTTTGTTAAAAGTGTGTTGTTTTAATAGAAAACAATCAGATTGCCTAATTTGTACGTAGGTGCATTTATTACGATGTTGTTTGACAAGGTGTCATATATCAAGATTGAACGTTCGTCTGTAGTTAATAGTAAAATTGAACAAATTAAAAATATAATTAAGAAACTGAAAACAACTTTCAAAAGCATGAAAATAAAAAAGAAGACCAAGCAACCAATAAAAAATATACAATATTGATATAAAATTACTTAGGCCAGCCATAACTTTTGCAAAAATACATTTTCTCAACGGATTATGTTTGTTATAAAACTTGACATGCAGATTCAAACCATTATACAACCATAATTTTGATTGGTCCAGGACCCAGAGGCCAGCTATGACGTGAATGATCATGATCCAGATCCTCAACCCAGATACGACAACACCAACGAAAACAAGTTGGTGCATTCCATCCACATTCATAATTTCAAACCCTCACTTGAAAATATTTAACGAATGTTTTCAGTAAATGTTAAAAAATAAATTCAGAATAAAAATCTTTGCTATCAGTTTACTATGTGGCTTGCATTCTGTTAAGCTCATCGTATTACAATAACGCACAACGAACCTAAATTTTAGCAATTCATTTAAAAAATTTTTTAATTTATTTATAATGAATAAATTTATTAACTCACTAAACATTTCATCTATCCATTCCTCTGCCCATCACCAACTGAATTAATTCATTTATCAATTACTCCACCCACCACCAACTGAATTAATTCATTTATCAATTACTCCACCCATCACCAACTGAATTAATTCATTTAATTAATTCATTTATCAATCACTCCACCGACCATCAACTGAATTAATTCATTTATCAATCACTTTACCCATCACCAACTGAATTAACTCATTTAACAATTACTCTACCCAGCACCAACTGAATTAATTCATTTATCAATTACTCAACCGACCATCAACTGAATTAATTCATTTATCAATCACTCCACCGACCATCAACTGACAGACACGGTACGAGATGCGCTGGCGAGGTGGCCGCCCAATTCAACAACAGCCTCTGCGGCATAGGTGTGGCCTACAACGCCAGGATCGGCGGGGTTCGAATGCTCGATGGCGACGTCACTGACGCCGTTGAAGCCAAATCGCTCAGCTGGAAATCTGACTACGTGCAGATATACAGCGCCTCATGGGGCCCAGATGATGATGGGAAGACTGTTGATGGGCCTGGTCCGATTACTGCCAAGGCATTCGAAGATGGAATTTTGAAAGTGAGAGCATTTCTAATTTAATTCAAATTATTGTAATACTCCATTTTTTCACGTTAAATCAATAATAACGTTTTCAAATGTTAATTTGTCTTCGAGCGTTTTTCATCCTAACTTTTACATAATTTTGTTTCAACCCAGGGACGAAATGGACTGGGGTCGATCTTCGTGTGGGCTTCCGGCAACGGAGGTCAACTGGGCGACGACTGCAACTGCGACGGCTACACGAACCTCATCTACACGCTGTCCATCAGTGGCGTGTCTGAGAATGGAAACGTGCCCTGGTACTCGGAGGCTTGCTCCTCCGCCCTGGCCAGTGCCTACAGCAGTGGAAACTCTTCAGAAAGACAGATTGTAAGTTTTTTTAAAATAATTGTGGACGTAGATTGAAATAGTTTTGTGTTTTTTGTCAATTTTTTTCCTCTATTTGCTATTTATTCTTCTTGAAAACAACAAATCGCTCAACAAACTATCTAGTTCAACTGTAAAATTATATTAAAATCGTTTATAAAAGCTGACTGAAAATAAAACTGATTATTTAATACTTCAAAATGATATTTGTTCAGGTGACAACAGACCTGAACAAGCAGTGCACTGAGAATCACACAGGAACGTCTGCAAGTGCCCCACTTGCAGTTGGCATGATTGCATTAACCATGGAAGCTAAGTGAGTTATCGTGCGAGAAATTATTTAATTGCACGAGCGTCAGCTGCTGTGTCATCATGTTCAAACAATTTTTTTTCTGAGCCGGTTTTATATTATTAGCGTCATTGTATCGTTGTTTTTAGGTTATTTCGCTTAAAAATGCCATTTAAAAAATAGGCTTATTACACATTTGATTGTAATTAACTTAAATAATTGTTTTGTTTTTGAAATATTTTCCAAGTTTTTGTAAATGCAATATTAATAACGCCATTGACATCAACCACACAACCGACATCTGAGCAGCACGCAGTTGACATGGCGAGACGTGCAGCACATTGTTGTTCTCGGAGCCAAGAGAAGCAATCTTGTTGATGCAGACTTCAAATTAAACGGAGCAAATAAATATGGTAGTTAGACTTTTGTTGGAAAAAAAGTATTAATTCTAAAATTACAAATTCAAATTTAATTTTTATTATTTGAAATAATTAACGTTTAAAGTTGAGTGATTTTTTAAACAAGCATTGTAAATTGTCCAAATATGAAAATAGACATTACTTAAAATGATTACTCCAATGCCCGGCAGTGAGTCACCGTTTTGGATTCGGGCTGATGGACGTGGGACGCATGGTTGAACTCGCTGAAAATTGGACGAGAGTGCCAGCTCAGAGGAAGTGCGTTGTGCCGAGAACTATTTCTCAGAAGTTGGTCAACTACTTTCATTTAAGCACATAGAAATTATAAATAAATTGTCGTGAACGCTAAACTTTTACTAAGAATTTGATGAAAAGTTTTGTGAATTTGATCTGGAAGAAATTTAGATGCAAGTTTCACATTGTATACACAGATTGAACACGCGTTGAAATGCATAAAATACACGCATGAAAAACTCTTTTTTAATAAATATTCAATTCAGCAGTAGAGTGACAACAACATTCTAGCTGTACACCACCACAAACAAACACGCCCCACCAACACAATAACCAAACCATTCAGAGGCCTGTCAGTCAACAGCAAGCTGAACATCTCGCTGACTCACAACGGTTGCTTAGACACGGAAGATGAAATAAATTATTTGGAACATGTGCAAGTCATCATATCGCTGGCGTCTCAGAAAAGAGGTGAATTAGAAATATTTCTCATTTCTCCGTCTGGCACAAAGTCAACACTACTCGGAAAGAGACCGAACGATTTTTCCACTGATGGATTTCTCAACTGGACTTTCATGACGACGCACTGCTGGGGCGAAACAGCCGCCGGAACCTGGAAGTTGGAAATCAGAAACTCCGCCAGTTTAGGTTTGACTCGCGATTTTTGATTGACAAATGTTGATAAATATGAAAAAAAAATAAGTATATCCATTTTGAAAATTTTGTCAAAATAATGCTTGAAGAAAACTTTAAAATTGTAATCGAAAATTTGATATAAAATTCTTAAAATATTCTTCACGACCGAAGTATGGATAGAACGACAGATCGACAAACTATTGAATGCGATAATGACAATGCATGAATAATTTTAACGACCATTCAGTATCACCTTCGAGACTTCTGAGATGGACATTAGTTTTGTATGGAACGAAGAAGGAACCTTACTCAGCACCTTTACAGCACCTTAATCCACAAAGACCGCCACTATCATCAGTGTCGTCATCATCTGCGTCATCGCTATCGTCATCATCTATCTACAAACACTCATTATTCCCGTATCATTATTCACATTCTCACCAACATTCTCTTCATCATCTTCCTCATCGCCATCATCAACATCATCAGCAACAACACAACAACATTCAAAAAATTGATTTTATGCCATATTCTTCGCTAGGTTGGTCTTTATCTCACTTTGTTGGACACTTTGTTTTAACTTTAATTAATACGTTAAAAAATCTTAATAATATTAATATAAGCATGTTTTTTTCATAAAAAATATGATCTAAATTGTATTGTAATTAACAAAGTTTTGAACTTTAATATTTGAATAATTTCTGAATATCGCGAAAAAACGAGCGAATGAATGATCATACGAACGTTGTTAGCAATCATATAATCATATTCAAGTTTTTCTCTGGCCGTTTAGTTTTAGCTACCCTCAAAATTTCTTTCAAAATAACTCTCTCTATTTTTCTAATTTTTCAATTCTTTTGTTTTCAATTTTTTATTTATATAATTTCAATGTTTTGGTGAAGGTGGTTCCAAAAGTGCATCTTACGATCTACGACCTTCAAACAAACCTGGACCGAGAAGCAACCACCAATCGAACGCCAGACACGATCTAAGCCACAACAGCTACAGCAACCACCACCGATACAACTACAACAACTACAACCATCACAACGACTTCTACGGCCGTGATACCTACCAATATTATGCCCCGTTGAATAGTAACAAAGTATCTATCGCTACCAGGCATGGCCACTGTATATACTTGCTTGTTATATTCTTATTCATTTGTCTGACCAACGTTCGTACATTCGTTTAGTTAGAAGCTTTGTATAAATAACTGCACTTCCAAATTATTTTTTCTCTTCTTCTCATTATCGCCAGACACTAGTACAAATTTAAAATTCAAAAAAGTAAATTATTCAGTATTTTTTAAGTTCAGTATTATTAAAAATAATTGAAATAAATCGCTATATATTGTTGAATGTATAAACCGAGCAAACGTACATATTGTGAAATATAACTAACTAACTATTTTGTGTATCAGTTGAAAAACTTTGTGATTAATGTTTTACTGGATGTGTGATATAGATACATTAGATCTGACTAAAAGTGATGCGTTAAGCTTTGGATAAGTGTTAGAATATCACATCTTTATTTAATTAAGACTAATAAAATTATTTTAAAAATTGTCCTCTTGTTTTTTAGTGTATTGAATTATAAAAAATAGAGAACTTTATTAACTATTGATTTTAATTATTTATTAAAAAAAATTAAAAAAAATTGAGAAAGATAACAGCAAAGAAGTTTTAATTTTGAAAACAAAACTTACCATAAAAATTTCATCAGACAGAGCTCACAATTCAAATTTTCGTAACACTCTTATCAGCATTATGTATATAAACAAACACCATATCGCCGAATTTTTGAAATAAAATAAAAAATAGGGAGAAATGCTTCTAGAATTTTAATGCCCGAACGTATATCACAAAGTTCTTTGAAGTTTTGGCAACTGTTTAAAACTATTGATTTTTATTTCAGCGGCAAATTTCATGTGTCGGTTCGCATTTCTTGTTTCTTTAATTTAATTAGCGAATCTTTTGATCAAACATTAAAGGTGACCGACCTGCTGATTCAGGCGTTTTTCTGTTTGAATTATTTCATGAAGAAAAAATGTTACAAAGTGAAAAAATAATAAAAATTTGTTCGTTTTGAATTGAATAAAATAATATTTTGCCAGTGTAATTTTTGAGAATTTATTAGTCCACATTTAGCATTTTTTGAAACGTGACAGTATTATAATTGTTTCGCAAACCGCTGACTACTTCTACATACTTGGGCATTTCAAAACGTTCACATTATGAAGCTTCTATATTAATATTTTTAATTCTATCTTTATTTGCCATTCAAGTTCAAACTATCAACTTCAGTGTCGATAGATTGAACGCTTTAGAAAATGATAAAAAGTGATTTTATTATTATCATATGTATTTTAATTGTCTTTTGTTAATTTTGAGGTTCAGTTTAAAATTTTAAGAACATTTTAGTTTTAATATTATTTTTTAATCATGACTTTAAACGACAAATGTACCTACAATGGAACATGTTTATTGAAGCAAAACTTTCAAAAACAACGTAAAACAACGTATTACGTCCCATAGTTACATTGCAGTAACAACAAAGCTTTAAAGTTGAAATTAAAAGCCATTAAAATTGCTTTTCAATATTAACGAAAATGACTTAAAACCAGGATAAATTCAGTTTTTTGGTTCCAAATTCCGGTCAATGATATCAGACACCTGACTCTTAATGATATCCAGAGTGACTCTGTGGTAGTACTCGTCATCGTCGATCTGTTTTATCAGTAGCTCATTGAATTCCAACTCGTTCGTTAGGGACCTCCTCTCATTGGCCGTCACATTTAAGCCCACTTTGAAGTACTCCAGGTTCGTCTGCATCTCTGTATGAACATCTTTGGTTGGGCCGCTGTTCGAAACTTCGACAATCTTCTTTATGCAGTCTTCGTACACTTGTTCTTCTCTTCGTTCACATCCAACTGCTTGTTAAGCAGATCAATCTTGCTTTCTACCAACGAACGCTTCTCAGTCATCACCTTCATGTACGCCAGCAACTGCTCTCTGCAGGCATCGTTTATTTTCAACTCTTGCTCAATTTCTTCATCTGTTTTGTCAAAAAATAATATAATTTATTCATTATTTCAAATTTGTATTAATTGAACAATTTTTGTTGAAATAAAAATAATTCTACCCAATGAAATACAGAAATGTATTAAAAACGGGGAAATTAACAAAAAAAATGTTTTGAGCCATGTTTATTTTATTTTTTAATGTTAAATCAGTAGAAAAACTATTTTATTTATACAGTTTTAATCAGAGCTTGTTGTAGTTGATTTACTTTACATAGTTAAAATTTGTATTAGCATTAGCATCATTTTGACGTGACAATTATTTATAAATTATTTATAAATTACATGCAATCAATGCCAGATGAATGATAATTTATGTTAATATGTCTAATTTTACTGAAAATAGTTTAAATTTTTCAAGTTATTTATCTGAAAATTGAACTTACTTTAATATTTAATGTCAATGAACGTTGATTTGATCAAAATTTATTAGATACAATTGAATTAATAATAAACAAGTTCTGGAAAGATGTGATTTAGGTACAACTTGTCAAACATTGCTGCTGAAATTGGGACACTGTCAGAATGAATTTTGATTTAAGCTTTTATTTTGCAAACTAAATCAAACCTATATGCAATTTTTAAAAAAGTATATCTGATTGAATCATGTTAAGTGGAAATCAACTCGTCAAATAAATTTTACTCTGAACAATTCATCATGTTGTAGTTCAATATAAATTTTTGTCTGTTGTTGTTATTATTAATATTGTTAATATTTTCATTTATTTTTATTTATTTTACAAACTTAAATCGTCAGATCACATTGTATTGACTTGATTTAAAACTTCCATAGATTCGTATGCTTTATAAGTCCTTACTTTTTGCTAATTTGTTCAGCAAATGTTTTGCCAAACTATTGCTAAAAATTAATGAGATGGTTATTTATTATTTTCTTAGCCCTTTGCAGGCTGTTGTTGCATCTTGGGTTTGTTAATTTGAAAATTTTTTAAAAATTTTTAATTTCGAAAAATTCAAATTTGAATTGTTTGAAAATCTTGAACAGGTGACCATGATAATCAAAAAGCCGATGATGCCAAAGAAATCTTCCAAACGGAAAACGCTGCAACGGATAAAGAAATTAGGAACTTGGTCAATGAAATTAAAAAGGATGAACTCCGGAAGTTGCACCCCGTCCGGACGGTTTGCCATTCAATAAAATCTTCATCCATTTCCACTTTTTTTTATTTTTTCAGTTTTTGAATTACGTCACTTACCTGGAAACAATTTATCACTTGAAGTATTTTTTGCATTTTAAAATTTTGTTCCCAGCAATAAACTTTTTGCTTAATGTAATTGTTCTATTACCTCTAATCTTAATAAGATCTACTGTCGATTCTATAGCATGAGTTAATTTTTAATTCTGTTGCATTTTTAAACAAACCCTACAATTTTAGACGGCAGTTTGATTCCATAAATCTAGATATTTCGCAACATGTGATATAAATAATATTAAAAATATTATTTATTTAAAAATAATTTTTTCCCAGAGGACATGTATGCCAAAGAAAAAAGTGTATCCGAAATTCTGACCGATATGAAGTTGACGTACGGTTGCATGCTCGATGAGAAAGATAACAAATAATTTTTTGAAAAATAAACCGATTCATTTTCTGTCAAATTTTAATTTAAAATACATTAAAAGTAATAATAATTTTCTGGAGATTGAAAAACTATTTGTTAACAATGATGGTATAGAGATTTTTATTGATATTAAATAAGAGGTAAGCAAACTTTTTGCTTTGAGGGCCGCATTGAGAACTATTTTACCTATGAAGGGCCGCATAGTACTTAAATTGCAAAGTTTTTCGACCCTGGGGAGAATTTGTTTAAGATTTGTGGTTCTGGTTTTTGGTCATAACGTCTGACTGACAACCTTTTTTGGCCACCCCTGTATTAAACTTAGCTTTATTCATTCTAATATATGTACTTTGTCGAGCATATTTCTTGGTCAAAAACAAAATTTTGCAAGCATTTGTTTCAGAAGCATTGTTTTTCATTTATGTATTATAAAAATTAAAACTCATATATAGAATATTTTTAGCATTTAACAGTAACTTTCTTTCACACTGCTGCCTAGCGAACAAACTGCAGATATTATATGAGGTGCGTGAATTAATTGCTTTGAAGAACATTTTGCTCTGACACTAGTTAATTATTGTAAAATGATAAAAAGTTTAATAATAATTAAAATAATGAGCAATTTTTACGCTTTTTTAATACAATATCTTCTAATAAGTTGATGTTTTAATCAAAAATAATATTGCTTGAAATTAACTATTTGGTTGGTAACAACAACCTATACTAAGTATTGATAAGCTTTAACCCTCTACCGCATACCGATGCCATTTGGCATCATTACTTTTATGCTTCCTTATAAACTTTACGATGCTGAAAGGCAGCAATATGCATATCTCTAGGATAATAGTTACCATAGAGATTCAAAATTTAGTAACTATTCAGTTATCTATGTTTTTGATCTATTTTTAATTCTTTTGGAAATTTCCTATCAAAGTACAATTTGTCCAACTTGTTAAGCATTAATATAAAATTGACTCTACTTGGAATGGTGATTGGTATGATGGTGATGATCCCAGTCCTATTCACAATGTCATTATGCCCTTTCTAAGTTTTAATAAAATACATGGAATATTGGTGAATGCATTTTATATTTTTTGTATAGATAATGTTGCAATGTACAATGATGATGCGAATTGCTTCCTTGTGTAACTGATGACATATAAATATAACTAACTTGAAAACATGGGAATGCTTTCTTCAGCATTACCTTCCTTTCTCCATCATAACCCTTATAATCTTTATTACAGAAATGGTCACTGCATATTCTTGCATTTTTTGATGGAAGCCATTTGAAATCATTTATTTCCTGTCTGATGCACTTAATCCAATCGTTTTGCATTTTTACATTTTGAGGAAATCTGAAATTTTATAAACTGTTACAGAAACTTGTGCATTTCTTAAGTATTGTTTTTAATAATAAAATGGTAATCCATGATAGCATTATAAATTATAATAGTCTATAAAATAAAATATATGTAATTGTAAAACAAAATAGTTCTATTCAACGAGTGTAGGGATATTGTTACATTTATTTTAGTGTGAAGTTAATTGAAAATAACCTGGAAAAGAGC